TGGCAAAGGAAGAAGAAAAGGAAGAGACATTTCATCTTAGACAGTTGCCAGTGAACATGTCCCCCTATTGATTTCCACCTCCTGCTCTGGTGACAGCTAAAAAATTTGGATTTGTCCATCACATTATGGGGTTGATTTACTAAAAAAATTAAAGGAACACTTTTTAAATCAGAGTATAGTATCAAGTCAAGCATCACCTTAGACTGTCCAGGAGCTCAGTGATACTCTGGTCCAGATCAGGGAGGAAATACCCCAGGACACCATCCGTCGTCTCATTAGGAGTATGTCCCGATGTTGTCAGGCATACATACAAGCACGTGGGGGCCATACAAACTACTGAGCAGCATTTTGAGTTGCTGCAATGAAATTTCAGCAAAATGGACTAGCCTGCTGCATCATTTTTTTACTTTGATTTTCGGGGTGTCTTTGAATTCAGTCCTCTGTAGGTTAATCATTTTTATTTCTGTCAAATGATGGGGCATCCTTACGTTTCTAACACATTACCCAGTCCATATCAGTATAGATATCCAGCATGATATTTTTCCCCATTGAGATCTGATGTGTTTTCAAAGTGTTCCTTTAATTGTTTTTAGCAGTGTACATACTTTTAACTGCATAAACCTAGCTCTATCTGGATATTACTGTGTTTATGCTGTAGGTAACCTGGGAGTCTGTAATATCCAGAGCCTTCATTTGTGGGAATAGTAACTTTTATTTGAAAGTCAAGGCTTTGAAATACCCGATTCCCCACCTTGCACATCACTATTGGTTTCTAAATATGATGAGCAAACTCACTATGCCGTTATGGGAGGCAGTAGGCAGAGCTCTGACTTCTGAGAAGATATGCCCACAACCCCTCTGCTTACATGGACTCTGCTGGTACCCTCAGGGCCGGTCCCCACTTGAGCTGCTGGTTGTCGGTCCACCAATTTGCAGAAGGTACAGTGGTGATTTAGCACCTTTAAATAGAGCTTTTGGTGTTCAAGCAATTCTTAAAGTTCAGATTTTTAGAGAACAGTATATAAAAAAAAACCCAGAGAATGTCATTTTTCTGGTTTAGGCAGCTATTTAACCTGCTAATGAAACAAACAAAAAAGTCTGATGCAAACAAATCATAATAATACAGGTTGAAAAGGACTTTAAAAACTGACAAAAATTTTTTTTTTTTACTATAACTAGGGTCTATTTTTAATTTCTTGATTAGCTACAGTATCATTGTAAACAATGTCTAATGCAACAATGTCTCTGCTTGGCACAGGAAGACGAACAAGAAAAATTAAAATCTGATGGGAAAAATATGACTTTACTTTCATTGCTTTTTGTTTCCATTATCCCACTGCCAAATATATTATAGTAATATTTTTATTAATAACAAAGTGTGCAAAGGGCACCTGAAACCTGTCTAAACCAGATATAGGGTATTTAAAGCATGGCTGCTTATGACATATCTTGTTACAGGCTGACCAAAGTTTCTTACATTCTGCCATGAATGCTATTAAAGCAAAACCAAGAGTTGTGCATAACAGCATGACAATGAAGGTGCTATTACAGTTAGCAAGACTTGGCAAAATCTTGATTTACTATTTTTACTACTTTTAACTGATTTCCAAATGTACCTACCTATGAATGTTAAGGTTTCCTTAGCACATCTAATTCATTTGTAAAAATATAAGAGCAACTCCATCCAAAAGAAAACTTGTGTGGAGCAGGGCATGGTTTGGTCTCCACTGAGACTAAAGTCCAGTTCCCAATAAAGGGGACTAATTACACAACCACAAATATCACAGAATCAGAGCTCAGCCAAGTTACTAGAGTCACCAGTCAATGACTTCACATATTGATTAGAGAATCCATTAGAGGGGCCACCATGTCTCCTCTAATAAATTCATTTAAATAAGGAACCTGGGAAACAACAGCTCCTCAGCTGGTGCAATCTTGCACCCTGCCCAACATCAACAATGGCCTCTAAATCCAACCAGCTTTGTTTTAAATTGAAGAAGGGTTCTGATGTTATCCCTGAACCAGTGTGATCATGATGATAATGACCTCCTGTGTTGTGGCCAGCACCTATGTCAGGGCTCCCGGTAAGACCAGAGATGTGTGAACTGACACAGGGAAACGCAGGCTCAAGTACGGTGTAACAATATAATTTATTAAAGGTTATACACAAATATAAAATGCACAATATAACAAAACCAAACCTCCAACTGATAACGGAATGAACACAGACAAGAGCAGTCAGGGCTGGTGAGGTGGAGTGGTCAGGCAGGCCGGGTCAGGAACCATCGGGCAGACAAGACACAAAGGAGCTGGCAGAAGAGTGGTCAGGAATAGCCGAGGTCAGGACAGACGGAGTTCGTTCAGAGTCAGGATCAAAGCAGAAACAGGATCAGGCAGGAAACAGACAGGATGCAGGTACAGGGGCTCATGGGAAACATACACCAAGGCACTGACTGCAGGCCTGGCCACTCCTTAAATACACCTCCTGCAATCAGCCTCCGGTGATGACTTGATTGCAGGAGTGAGCTTCTGGCTGCTGAGAGCACCCGCTAGCCAGCCCTGGTACTGCAGCCCACACGGCAGGTGAGTCCCACCACCAGTGGTGAGTCCATTCCTGACAACCTACAGAATCAGGTCACCCAAACTGGAGATTTTTTTTTGGCGATGAAGAGTTACACCATATTACAGTTACTTTCAGGTCTTAGGGTTCCAGTGCTGAGAATTGTGTAGTTCAGTTCCAATGCCTGCACACTTTTAATTGTATTTAAAGGGGGTCCCACTCTCTCAGTATGGTTTTTATGTTACTTTGTTGAGAATGCAGCAGGATGAGTACAGGAGCCTTGAAGTAAGGTGGGTAAATCTTCTCATTGGATGTAAAAAATGAGTTTGTGATTTATCCCATTGGGTTTCATATAAAAAAAAGAAATTGGGCATGACTTTTTAAAAACAAAAATGCACTCCAATGTAGATTATTTGCACCACACATATCCTGTATATCCAAATAATTGATTTATACTGGTGTTGTGTGAAACCACCTAGTACTGTGACACTAATATTGCATGGTTTGTATGTAAGTGGCTAATCAGGAAAATCTAGACACACAGATGTAAAGGTGTTCCCAATAGCATCCAAATGCTTGAATGAATTTTGTAACTGGAGCCAAGCACACCAGCTAAAAGTTGATTGACTGCTATGGGAAGTCCATACATGTTTGCTTTTATAGTCTATGTTGTGAAAACACACACACCACAGTTATGCATTTACAAAAACTATTCTGAGTTCTTTAAGTGAAGCTTTGTCCTCTGTGGTTCATTTGCAGCTTTTAGAACCTGATAAATTTGGAGTACATAAGCTTTAACAGAATGGTTTCAGTCAGAGCTCTCATGCTCAAATGCTGACTGTCCTGAGATGTTATTCATGTATTTATCATACTACATTCTGTTACAAATGTATATTTTAAGCTTTTTGCATGAACAGGATATCAAAAAGGGAAATATTTCTTTATAATTGGAAGCATAAGGCTCTCAAGCACATGTTTTAGATTAAGTATACAATCTTGGGTTGGCGTTTCTACATTGTTTACCAGAATATATAAACTGTGCACATAAAATTTAAATAATAAGCCCATAATAAGTCAATCTAACTAATAGCATACAAATGTTTGCATACCATGGATTTTCTTTTCTTAAATCTAATAGCAGTATTATTTCTGTTCTCAGCACTTTGATGATTATCACTAACTTCTTTTCTTTGAAAAGGCAGTTATTCTATTTTACGGTTTTAAAAAGAGATACATCAAATGACACCCAAGTCCACATAACTTTCTGCTCCTTGAAGGCATATTTATTGCTGATATTTTATGTTCTGAATATAATTTATCTGGGAATGCTGAAACAGCTTATTGTTGGTCTCAGGTAATCAAATATCACAGCAAAATGGAATAGGGAATGATTATATATATTCAGTTAATGAGTCAATATACTTAACACAGTGCAAAAACATCTAAAATATGAATTATGTGTTATCCTGTTCCACATCTAACAGAATCTGTGGTGTGTAAAATCTCTTTTGGGTTGTTTCCAAAACACCAGGTAACAGCCAGTTAGAGGACTATTGTGTACAACAGGTGGCCTGGCATGCTATACTCATGTTTTGTTAGAATCAACTGGATTTTTTTTATCTCAAATGTTGGAAAACAAACCCTATAGCTTCTTAAAAGACTGCCACTAAGGGAAAGTAGGCCAAACTTCTTCAACAAAGCTTCACAGGTAATTAGCAGGAACCAAGAGTTGCACATACTTACAGCAGCCTTACAAACCTTCCCATCTTAGCTGAATTCTGGGTGTTCTGACAGGCAAAAGTTTGACACTTCCAGGTAGTGCCAGATTTTGACACCAAGGGGTTGATTTACTAAAACTGGAGAGTGCAAAATCTGGTGCCACTGTGCATGAAGCCAATGAGCTTTGAAGTTCAGCGTATTCAGTTAACCACTTGAGCTTCAGAAGATTTTACCCCCTTCATGACTAGGCCATTTTGAGCTCTTCAGCAGTACACTACTTTAACTGGCAATTGCATGGTCATGCAATGCTGTACCCCAAACAAAATTTATATCATTTTTTTTCACACAAATAGAGCTTTCTTTTGGTGGTATTTGATCACCACTGGGTTTTTTTATTTTCTGCGATACAAATGAAAAAAAATTAACTTTTGAAAAAAAAACCTCAGATTTTTTACTTTCTGATATAAAAACATATCTACCGTATTTTCCGGCGTATAAGGCGACTGGGTGTATAAGACGACCCCCTAATTTTCCAGTTAAAACATAGGTTTTGGGCTATACTCGTCATATAAGACTACCCCCCTTTTGAGGCAACACCATTTAACCCCTAGCCTAAAGGGCACTTATACCCACTTCCCCCCCAGGCCAATTTTCAGCTTTCAGCGCCGTCACACTTTGAATGACAATTGCGCGGTCATGCAACACTGTACCCATATGAAATAGGTGGCACTGATGGGCATTGATGAGGAGGCACTTGTAGGTGGCACTGATGGGCATTGACAGGCATCGGTGATGGGCACCGAAAGGCAGCACTAATACATGGCACTGATAGGCGGCACTGACTGGCACTGTTATGCACTTACTGACTGTTAGGAGGTGGCACTGATGCACACTGATAGGTGGCACTGACTGACTAGGTGGCACTGATTGGCAGCACTGATGGGCATTGACAGGCATCACTGATGGGCACCGAAAGGCAGCACTGATACATGGCACTGATAAACGGCACTGACTGGCACTAATAGGTGGCACTGATTGGCAGCACTGATAGGTGGCACTGACTGGCACTGATGGGTGACACTGAAAATCAGCTCAGATGGGCACTGATATGTGGCATTGATGTGCACTGGTAGGCACTGATATGTGGCATTGATGTGCACTGGTAGGCACTGATATGTGGCATTGATGTGGCACTGATGGACACTGACAGCTGGCACTGCTGGGGCTACACTGATCATCAGGGCACACTGATCATCAGTGCCCTGATGATTGGTGTACATGTCTCCTCCGCGGAAAGCCGATTACCGGCTCTCCTCTCCTCTCAAGCTGTCAGCGTGACAGCTCGAGAGGAGAGAAATGCCGTGATCGGTGATACCTGTGTCCGAGGGACACAGCGCATCGCCGCCGCGCATGCGCGGAGAATGGGAGGACATCATATGAGCCAATCACGGCAAGTGACGTATTCTATTAATGAATGCAGAGCCTGCTTGGATTGGCTGTGTCAGAGAGGCGGGCTGATGATGTCACAACTTCAGCCAATCCGAGCAGGCTCTGTATTCATTAATAGAATACATCGCTTGCCGTCATTGGCTCAGCGCGGTACACTGTATGTAGCTGAAGCTACCATACAGTATTACCGCACATCCAGCGTTCTATCCCCGGCGTATAGGACGACCCCCAATTGTTGGAGTATGTTTTTCAGTAAAAAAAGTCGTCTTATACGCTGGCAAATACGGTAATAATAAAAAAAACAAATGTCATCATACATTTTGACCAAACTGTATTCTGCTACATGTCTTTGGGAAAAAAAATCCCAATAAGTGCATATTTTAATTGTTTTGCATGAAAATGATAGTGTCTACAAACTATGGTATATATATAGTTTTTTTTTGTTTGTTTTTTTTTACTAATAGCAGTGATAGTGTGGGGGCAATCTGACACTAACTGATGTTGAGGGGAGCTAACTTACTGACACTGACATCACCAGTGACAATATTACAATGATCAGTGATAATACCATACACTATCACTGCACTAATGACACTGGCTAGAAACGGGTCAACATCTAGGTCAATCAAGAGGTTAAATGTGTGCTTATGTGTAAAGTGTCCTGCTTTCACTTAGAGATCTCTTTATTTCTCATCCCTGCTTTGCAGGGATGAAAAACAGAGAGATTGTTCCTTCTGTACAGGGCTCTGTGATTGTACACAGCTGATTAGCAGGTCCCAGCTATGAATCATTGGCCGGGACTTGCTAACAGACACCGCTGTCTACAATCACAACAGGTGTTGGCTGGGGGGGTGGCGCACATGCTTGTTCCCTATACCCAGAAGCAGGCAGTGATGTACCAGCATGGGCCACCTGTCTACAGCACACTGCAGGTGGGCAGTCCAGAAGCGGTTAAGCTTCAACAAAAAAAAAACTGGTAGCCGACTGGTTTCTACACAGAGCTGCAACAGATTTTGCACTCTCCACATTTGGTAAACCAACCCCAAAGCCTAGTCTTTAACACATTCCTACTGACCCATTAACATAGAGCAGGTAGAGAGGTAGAAAGGGGCAGCTAATCCCTAATATTTGGTCTTAACAGGAAGGCTGCAATTATGTGAAGGCATATCCAAGTGGCTGAAATTACGTGAAGGCATATCCAAGCGCCTGCATTTCATTTATCATTCATTTATCTGGACATACATTTCCATGAATATTTTTATGCTAAATTAGTCTACTCAAGTTAGTTGCACAAATGTCTAATAGAGGGATCAGAGCAGGCCACTCCAATCCCATGATGACATAGTGGATTAATAACAATTCCTGCACCCTGGTGGGTGAGTATATCAAAAGGAAAGATATGGCGATCAGGTTTCCGGGGATTTGTTCAACATGTTATGGCAGATATTTTTAAATGGCCGGGATCCTGGGTACATTTACACTGTAAATTCATGATTATGGTGGTGTCTGTGAACTTACAATTTGAGAAAACGCAGCCAACATAGGCCTTACTGAATAGGCATGCTGCAATTGCTCCTGTTGCAGCGTAATACATTTGTCACTGCCAGAGGAAGTGTTAAGGGGACATTATATAATGGTTTGGGCTCCATTTTCTATGTTTTTGTATTGCTAGATTAATATATATTAATTTTTATCTTGAATTGCACTAAAGCCAGGAAAAGACTTTACAGAACAGTGTTGCTTACTACAGAAAGTAACAAAATTATCAGTAGCTGCTCTGACCAAAGCCTAAATGACATATTAAGCCTTTGGACTGCCTCTCAAATTTGGAAAAACCTGAGAGCAGGCTGCTGTCATCAGTTTTTAGCATTTAACTAGTTCACACCATTCCGGTTGTGAGAGCTCTAAGTCCATTGAAAACTCAGCAGCCTGTAGTGATGCCTGCAGGTTTGGCCCTCTTGCTGAGATGGATGGAACTTGAGAGTGAGACCTGAGACTGCTATTTCTGTAATCTGACATCTGTTATCAGTTAAGTAAATGTTATTTTTCATTATTTTTATTGTGTCTTTTTTATTTCACTGGCACTACATTGGGAGACTTAAATTGAATATATAATCAGTTTTCATGGAGTCACAGCAAATGGAGATCTCTTCAAGACCTGATAATTTAATTCTGAAATAAGCACCATATCACTACAGTTCTTTAACTGTTTTACATATGTGTTTGCTTATTTTAGAAAATCTTTGTTTTACATGTGAACTTTTTAAACAGCATACAGGATTCAACTAGCATCATGGTTTTTCTAACAAGAGAACAGAAAAGAAGCAGTTTGACTTTAGATTTTCCTAGAGACTGACTCATATGGAGCCATCCGAACAGACTAGATATAGGAAGGGGGTAACCCACTTTTTAACAGATACTGTTGTGTATAAATCTCAGCTTGAGCTATTGAGTTTTGTAACCTACAAGCTTTTTTCTTAGCAAGGCAGGTAGCATAGCTTGAAAAACACATGATGAGCATCCTAGAGCCCCACCTGCTTGATGGAAATAAAAATACTAAATATGTAAGAGCAATAGTTAATATTTACCCGCCTTCGTAAAATTATTTTTAGTTTTACCATAATAAATAGTTTATGAAACAAAAGCAATATAAAGTTCCTTTAAGCTAGAATTCTACTTGAAAAAGTCTAGCAAGCCTAACAGGACAAATTAGTAAGGCAAACCATTTAAATATATTTCTTGTATCTCACTGCCACCTTATACATACTTTGTGTGTGTATGTATGTGTATATATATATATATATATATATATATATATATATATATATATATATATATATATATATATATATATCACTGCATTTCTTTTTTTCCACACTTAAATAAAATAACTTTGCTATCTTATTTTATTCATTTTCCTTTATAGACCCTTTAACTGGTTCTGCGCTAATGGTATTCCCATTCTTCATACACAAATGGCCCAACTTGTAACATTCCAGTGAACTCTGTGAACATAAATCACATTGAAGTCTAACATTTTCACACAGTGAGAAAGATTTCTCTTTTACATACTATTAGTGTTTTTTAAAGTTTGGGATTTAAGAATAAATGACAGAACTTAAGTTTGAAACAGTCCACTTTCAGCTTAGGGAAATGTTGAATATGTTTTAATTTCATGAGTTCAGTGTTATTGAGTAGCTATTAATTCACAGAATCCCTCAAGGTAAATTATTCAGAAAAAAATGAGGAAAAACTTAACTACTCAATTTTTTGAAGGACTATTTCTTGAAAATGTTGGAATAATCAGTAGAAATGTAGGACCATCAATATACAGAGCAGAACGAACTGGGAAATGCACAAAAATGGGAATTTTTAATTTCCCTGAAATTCCTGGGAAAATTGGGGGGTTTTAGCGAAATCTCACATTTTTGGCAAAAAGTCAATGCTGAAGGTGAAATAAAGTTGTTTTTTCTGGTTTTATTGGGCTTTAAATGGTTCCTAAAGTTTATGGAAACTCCAAAAACAGACCCTTATCTTTTTATGCTTTTTCAGCAAATGAACAAAAAACCAGGCCATTATAAAAAAAAATAAAAATATAAAGTACACAATGATAAAATACATAATAATAGTAAAATACACAAAAATAAGGGGAAAAAACACAAATACAATAAACAAATCCCCAAATTCATAAAAAAAAAAAACAACACCCTCTCAAAAGTAAGAGTGGCACTTTTGCAAAATTAGTAATTTTACTAAAAATTGGCTCTGCAGAATTATGTGTTTTATAATAAAGTGGCTAATTGCATTTACAATGGATATTATTAGAGTTCAATACTCTGAAAATAGGAAAATCATGAACTCTTCAGTGAAAGTGTATGAAAAGTCTGATTTTAGGAAAATGTGAACTTTAATAATCTACTATGTGATGACTTCTGAACACATGGCTATAATCTGACAAGTGAGATTTCTTTAAAATATAAATCTAATAAAAATACACATTTTGATCACCTAATTGTGCATGTTTATGCCTATGGAAGGGAGAGAGGGGATAACAAAACTGAACAAACCAGCATTACTATTTCCCCTAGGATCCGTTGGCTGGTGGTATTTTCTGCCGTTTGTTGGTGTCTATGAGTAATTTTTTTCAGCTGGTATGTATTTTTTATGTGAATCCCAGCATATGTAATACTGTTTATAATGTATAATTATTGTATAAAGTAATAATGTTTATATACTTATAGTGGTTCTAAACCTAAGACATGAAATATGAACAAAGCATACCCCTCTATAGAGTGTTTTTGTGTCAATCCAGAGCATTAAGTATCATTTCTGTCTGCTGTCTCCTTCCCTCTTCTATCTTCATAAGTCACTTCTGGAAGGTTTTCCTGACACCAAGAGATAAAAAGGTGTCAGGGGAGGAAGCGCCAGCACACAGCCTGTAATTGATAACCTCAGCTCTGTTTCTGTGTGCTGTGCGGAGGGAGAGTGTGTCCCTTCGCTCCAATCAGCTGTCCTCACTGAGCGTCACAGAATGTAATGTCAGATCACTGCCCCCTTCACTTTGAAAGTTCAAGCTGTATAAATTCTGCATTTTTAACGGATGTGTAGAAGAGAAGACTGCACATAAACAG